TCAACGTGTAAATACTTACACTATGACTATACGCATTACTGCAACCGCCCACAACACAACGTTTAACCATCATAAAAGTTTGTTGTGAAAACAACTTCTAAAAATTCGCTCTCTCAAAAATAAAATAAAATAGACAAAAGAAACGCCGATTAAAAAATGTATATCGTTTAAAAGTACAGTTGTACGTTGAATGACACAGTGATATAAAAGTACAGCCCAGGGGTATGGCTTCCTCTCATATTTTTGCATTTGGTGGCGCCCTTTCAGCGAGAGTCGGAAATCTGGAAACAATAGACCGTTTCAGAATAGGTGGGCGTGGCTACAGCACGGGAAATATCTCAAATTTACTTGGATACGAGTAATCATTTTCAGCAAAAAAAATCAATAATTGCCCATTTCAGTGGGGCACAGATCTAAAATGGGAAGCGTGTGGGTGGGCATTGCACAGGCACTTTAAACACAATATCAATATACATCTACACTGCACACAACCATATTATCCTACCTCCAGTCTATACCATAGTGTCAACGTCAATGCAAAAGTTTTCTCAACTAGAAAACAGAGCCAAACAATGTTTCGCTATAAATTTTTTATGGTTTCTGTGTTTTCTCAAGCCCAAACAATGTACTGTTCTGAATTCTCATAATGTCTGTGTTTTCTCAACAAGAAGTAGGCAGAGCCAAACAATGTGCTGACAGGAACTCTCATGGTGTCTGTGTTTTATAAATGAGAAACAGGGCCATATGAACTCCAATGCTGTGGTGGCAATTGGACTTCTATTTTTTTGAAAATAAATTTTAATTTCTATGCATCATTCAGGTCTCTTAAAATGCTACCTGTGTGTTTTTTTTTTAATTTATATATTTAAAAAAAATGGTATCTCTGTAAATAAAATATATCTCTGATGGTGCTAAAGTCTGACATTTTATTTTAAAACTACAATGTAACATGGTGCATGACACAGTCACTGATCCATTTTTTTTGTATTTGAAATTGACATGTATACAGCAGAATGTGCAATATGTTAAATAATGTGTAGATTATTCAGATTTAGACAAAATCAACATGACATACAACCCATGATACAACAATATTACATTGTACCATGATACTTGGTAGCAGAACAATATTTCTATAAATAGAATGGGAATAAATCCTATAAAATGCCTATTTTACAGCTAGTTATTTGTAGAAATACATACATGAAAATTAATAAGCATATTAATAAGTCTATTCATTTAAATAAATCATTTTCAGGTATTTTTGAAAGAATCATCAGCTGAGGCCAAAGATTATGAATGTTGAATTAAAATGGATGACAAGGTAGTTGTGCACACAGACAAAATGGAACGAAAAAAACTTAAATATAATGCATTTGACATATCTAAAGAGAGAACACAAATAAGCCAAACCATATCTGCTATATTAGAAGGACTTCCTCAATAAAAAATCACAATAACAACAGCTAACAACTGTTTTTATATGACCATAGATGCGTCTTTCTCACACACAGAATAAATAAAATACTCATGGAGAAAATATCAACAATCAATGTTTCACAGCCACTGTAGTCAATGTACATCAAAATCCACTGGAAGTGAATTTATACTTCCTTGCCCAGTTACATATGAGAAGTTTCTTACCATGAGGTTATACGAGAAACATCTCAAAATACACATGAACAGTTATAGTGATCTTATCAACTGAAGCCAGTAGAGGTCAATGCGATCCTGAAATGCTTAAGTGCATCAATATTTTCATAATCTTGTTATTATTATTATTTCTTTGCTTATAGTAATATTTCAATGAGAGGTAACTCAAATTGTCAACAAAAAATCCTTCATACATTTGCATTCAGTGACAAGTATCTATTTGTGTCACATATTATGTTTGTGATTTTAATCTCAAAATGAGTACAGAACAGTAAATTCTACTGTTGATGTATATTAATGGTGCTACTGGTGGTTTCATTTAATGCGAATATTTTCATGAAATTTTTTTGCTTCATTGCAATTATATTAATCCATATATGGCAGTGAGCTAAATACAAAGTTCAACTCAAAAAGGATATGGTGTACAAAATCCATTTTTTGCTGGTGTGGGACATTAAAAAAAACAGCCATCAATTTGATACTATGTTACAGTGTATAAACAGCAACATGAGTGGCTGAGTATTTATATCACTTTTCATCATAATATAAATTTCAGAGCAAAGGGAATAATTACAGACAAGTTTAGAGTTTCATGAGAATGGGTTCCATGGATCAAATGAACATCACTAAACATCAACTGAGTAGAGTAGAGAAAATGAAACCTGACAAAAAATAAATTACAACCAATAACTGAAATTATCCATTTCCAACAGCAATACTAGGTTGCTGTATTTTCTTGTCTACCAGCATCATGAATAACTGGGGGAGGAGGATTATACACTATCCCTATGGTGTAGAATCACGACAGCTGTATGGTAGCCATCATTCAGGTATGTATACAATATTGTATATAAAATCTGATGCAGATATATCATGTTTGGGAGAAAAAAATTGGAAAAAAACTAGGGTTCCTCATAACTGAAAATTTACCTTACCTTTAGTACTGATGGCCATTGACTTTGGTGGTTTCGTATCCACAGCAGCTACAACAAAAAATACTGTGATTTATCATCAGGTACTTGTCTTGACACACTATGTATGTACAATAAGTGTGTTTCTGTAACATGTTTCATAAGACAGGGAAAGTCAGTTACTGGTACTGTATATCATATATGGCATTTACATGTTATAAGTAGTGACTAAACTAAAACATGTACCGGTACTCAAGATGGATGTATTACCGTATGTACAGCAAATATATGATGCTTCCAGCAATCAACAATGACATATAATTGGTTTAATTTTCACCAGTATAGTGGTTAGCATATGGGATTGGATGAAACATATAGTAAAAAGGATCACATAATTCAGTAGATAGTGTAGATAACTAACCTTTAGCACTGCTTACTCGCCTATAGTGAGCTGATAAATGATCTTGTATTAAATGTTGGTTACTAAGTCTAGTTGTGGTAGGTGCCAAAGCTGTCAAATTAAGAATAGTGTTATAATTGAGATGAGATACCAGCTGACACCAACTGACTATTCAACTGGAAACATTGCAAAACAACCTGTAATGGAATTATAACTGGGACCAAAGCAATTCAAGGTCTATTCTCACAATTGCTGTGCTAGCATTTCAAAATAATGGCATCTTTTTGACAAAATGTGATTACATGTATTAATCCCAATTAAGACATTTTCAAATAGACAGTGGCAAATTTTCATTTTTATTTTTTTTCAGAAATAATGGTTGATTTTAAAAGGTTTTTGTTGTTGCCATTTTTCATTTTTTTTAATCCACTTTAATAGCCAAAATTTCTCTGCGATACCTAATAAAGTCTCACATGGTCAGATGTTAGGATGAACCCCATATACACATGAACCGGTAAACAGTACCTACACATGGGTTTTTGTTTGTATATTATGCAATGCAAGTTTGCAACAGACCAGAATTACCGGTAATTCATTTAAGCATGTGACATTTGGAAATGATGTGTATTCAATACATGAACCCATGACGTGCATCTCAAAATCACATGTCATTCAATGTATAGACCCATGACGTGCATCTCAAAATCACATGTCATTCAATGTATGAATCCATGACGTGCATCTCAAAATCACATGTCATTCAATTCATGAACCCATGACGTGCATCTCAAAATCACATGTCATTCAATGTATAGACCCATGACGTGCATCTCAAAATCACATGTCATTCAATGTATGAATCCATGACGTGCATCTCAAAATCACATGTCATTCAATTCATGAACCCATGACGTGCATCTCAAAATCACATGTCATTCAATTCATGAACCCATGACGTGCATCTCAAAATCAGATGTCATTCAATGTATGGACCCATAATGTGCATCTCAAAATCACATGTCATTCAATGCATGATCTCATGACGTGCATCTAAAAATCACATGTCATTCAATGCATGGTTCCATGACGTGCATTTCAAAATCACATGTCATTCAATGTATGGACCCATGACGTTCATCTCAAAATCACATGTCATTCAATGCATGGTTCCATGATGTGCATCTCAAAATCACATGTCATTCAATGCATGATCTCATGACGTGCATCTAAAAATCACATGTCATTCAATGTATGGACCCATGATGTGCATCTCAAAATCACATGTCATTCAATGCATGGACCCATAACGTGCATCTCAAAATCACATGTCATTCAATGCATGGACCCATGACGTGCATCTCAAAATCACATGTCATTCAATGCATGGACCCATGACGTACATCTAAAAATCACATGTCATTCAATGCATGGACCCATGATGTGCATCTCAAAATCACATGTCATTCAATGCATGGACCCATGATGTGCATCTCAAAATCACATGTCATTCAATGCATGGACCCATGCTGTGCATCTCAAAATCACATGTCATTCAATGCATGGACCCATGACGTGCATCTCAAAATCACATGTCATTCAATGCATGGACCCATGATGTGCATCTCAAAATCACATGTCATTCAATGCATGGACCCATGACGTGCATCTCAAAATCACATGTCATTCAATGCATGGACCCATGACGTGCATCTCAAAATCACATGTCATTCAATTCATGGACCCATGATGTGCATCTCAAAATCACATGTCATTCAATGCATGGACCCATGATGTGCATCTCAAAATCACATGTCATTCAATGCATGGTTACCCATGAGTGCATCTCAAAATCACATGTCATTCAATGCATGGACCCATGATGCATCTCAAGATCCATGATTAATGATGTACCCATGATGTGCATCTCAAAATCACATGTCATTCAATGCATGGACCCATGACGTGCATCTCAAGATTCCATGGCATTTAATGTATGTATCGGTACCCATGATGGAATAGCAGAAATGCTTAGTTTAGGTATATTTTAAGAATAATCACAAGTCTGCTATTTTTTATCAGATTGTGAAACAAATTCACATGTATGACTTATTATGTGAAAATGTGATTGGTCCCCGATGTCTGATATATAAATTTATATTTATGTTTTGTTCAAAGTGATTAATAGTAGCTCTATTTGAGATGTGGAAACCTTTATCTGTAGGAAAAATACTGTTGACAAGACAGTCACTATCAAGTGTTGTCACAATTTGTCACACACAAAAAGTTGTTTGTATTCAAAAGGAAAAGCAATTCACCATTTTACACTATATGATTGGTCTAATAGCCTTTTAGTAAGAAAAATAGCAGGCTTGTCATATTTTGAGCTCTATTTACTGTTTTTACTACATGTAAGAGTGGAAAGATTTATTATACTTACCACTACTCTTGAGGGCCACATGACCTTTAACTGGACCTTTAAGGCCATCATAGACAGTGGATGGTGCACCTGTTGATGAAAATATATATATAAATATTCTTACATATGATTGTATGCAATATGATTGGTTGAAAAAAATTGAGCAATCAGAGTGATTGCCCATTTGAGGTCACCATGGGCTGCCTGGTATTTTTGAGTAAAATGCACCATCATAACACCACTACCTACTACATGCTAGTACTGTTACGGTACAGTTGGTATTTTTTCTGTCAGTATTCCCACAGTATACTGACCTACTTCTAACCAAACAAGTTAGGAAAATAAAACTGAAAGCTCATTAGTAATTATATCAATACGTGTGTGACTTTGGAATGTTTTCATTTCAAACTAGAACTGTATTATTGAGGTGCGCATAAAAAACATCAGTTGACATCACACACATCTGATACAATATACTGTATTTGTTAATAGTAATTTTGAAAAATCGGTCGTTTTTGGCATCGACGTATTTTTGCTCGGAAATGCAAGGGCGATAAGACTCGATATTCAAAGATGCAGGTTGTTTGAATTGAACTGTTTCTTTTGTTTCGAGTTTGTTGTAAGTCTAGAAACATAACAATGTTGTTTTTTAGTGAATACAGAATATGTTTTGTTTCAATACAGCATTTTGATATGCCAATCAGGCAATTTTAACAATTTCTTACTGGAGCGTCCCCTGTATAAATAGTCCTTTACTCTCCAAAAATTGACAATGGTACTAGCCCAGAATGGACTTCCTGTTCAGCGCGTCTTTGATTGTAGCAATGTTTACACCACTGTACGGAAATTTGCAAACTCGCGAATTTGACAATATTCACTCGAGCGTTCTAGGATAGTGGAAATAGAAGAATATAGATGGAAATACATCACTCATGAAAATTGATGACTCAATTGCTGGCCGGAATGGATGTATTTAGTGTTCATTTCTATGTAATATGTCTACACTTGTGATTCTCAATTTCGATGTGTAAAATCATATCGCTGATGTGGATGGCAACGGCTGACAGATTGTTTTGGTTCTGTGGCTCTGTTGGCATGGGCAACTGGTTTTTAGGTTTCCTTTTTATTAATATTGTGACGTTTACTTGGCCGTATTTTGTATATACCAGTCAGACACTGAGAACAAGTGAGAAAACGGGCCGGGACATAGTCAACATGGGATTCTGAAGGCCTCGGAGAAAGCATCATCGTACAACATTAATGAATGAAATTTACATTACAATCTCATGCTTCCGAACAATCCGACATTTATGCTGGAGAACAAATTATAAAAGTACTGTCTACGATATACTGCAAAGTGGAAATAATATACCTATTTAACCGTTGTTGATTTTCGTACAAAATTCCAAGAACACAAAACAAACAACTGCCATGTACACTACAGTCACTGTAGTCACACCAGTAGTAAAAAGATAATGTGGAACTAATGGCAAATGTAAATACAGAATAAATGTTAAACAATATTTAAAAAAAAAATTGCAGTTCGCAGCCTCTATGGACAAGTTCACAACCTCTAATATTGCAAAACCGTCAGTTTTGAACTGAACTTTAAATCTCATTAGGATTTCCACATGAAGTTACACAGATTGAAAAAAATGCAATATTAAAACAAGAAAAAATAATGCCAATTTGTCAAGACTATATACTAAATTCTCTTATTTTGGGGGTATTTTTGTGACTGTACATGTATGCATTACAGCCGTTCTGAGAATTATTCGAACAATCAGTTAGCAATATATCTTGGAACTTTGCAAAACACTTGGGTCTTTTCCAATCTAGACTTGATGGCGCCGTTGTATTGGCACGCCCACAATTGGAATCCTTCCATTATCTTGCAAAATGCAGGTAAAACACTGTTTTCAAAACGACACACGTTGGTTACCATATATTAACAGGTTATATGTTGTATATGCATTCAAAGTGTTATTTTAAATTGTTATAACCATCTGAGTCTACCTGACATAGCGCAATTTACAAAACAACTCCCGAGTGTTGAGTAACCCCATGTATTAATGAACTCATTGTTGGCCGGAAGGCTCAAAGTAAAGGTTTTAGCGGAACGTGCTGCAGTTTCTGACAGTTTTGAGCCGAACTAAAAGTTGTGTTTACATTACTGGTACATTATGTATCAAATTCAGATTCTATACCGAGGTGGGAGAGTACGTCAGGGATACACAGACTGAAAACTTGATTATAACGGTTTGATGGACTTTGTCAAATCAAAAGTGCCTTCCATGATCGAATCACTTTTTCAACTGCAGTTTGAAAATGATGGAGCATAACGACCGTTATTATGTCTAGTCCATTTTTGTAACAGGTACAACTGACTAAAATGAGCGAGGGGTTGACATTTTTCGACAGATTTAAGCAACAACCAACTTGTGATAATACTTGCAATTCATCAAGCCGACAACCCGGGTTTACCCCTATGAAATAGTAATTCCAAACATCACGCATGTCACTCAAGTGGCGCCGACAAGTCTAGATTGGGCAAAGACCAAAGTGTTTTGCAAATTTGCAAGTCATTTTGCTAACTGACTGTCCGAATAATTCTCAGAATATCTGTAAAATTATCAAAACTTCAAATGTAATCATAGTACAAATGTTAAGTAAACAAAATTATCAAGTGATTTTGGATTTGTTGGGAAAGTAGCCAAAATGGTGTGACATTGTCTAATTGGTGGTGGGAATTGCCAAGCTAGGTTATAAAATAGTGAAAAAATTTTTTTGTAAATATCACTGACCACGAAAGAAGCCCATCGTGAAGTGTCTTGTTTTTTTAAATAACATATATTTTCATTCACCAGACAAAATGAAAAAGGTTACAAAAAAATTTGAATTTAAAGTTAGCCGGTAAGATTGTGGCAAAAGAGAAAAGTATTGAAGTACATGTAGCAGTGATTCCACGGAGCTTTGGGTCAGAATACTGAAAATCATTTATTTCCACTAGCATATAATATTCACTATTTTAATATTTTGAGCATAGTCACTGAATTTAAAATCTAGTGAATAATTAACAGTAGAGTAATAGGCATTATCATTACCTTCCATGGCGCGGAACCATGGCTAAATAGCGTAAATTACATGTACCAGTGAGCTGTCTCATTACATTTACAGCTTCCTGCATGAACAATCTGTATCAGTGATCACATGCCACTGCACCAGCAGACTAGAAGAATCCTGTTTAATAATGACGCCATACGAGAATACACTACGTTGTAATATTACACCACTACTCTACACAATATCATGGATTGTCTTGGAAAATATTGTGAACATTGATAACAGCAATCTCATGTCAGAAAACGATCGCGTATCCCGTTGCCATAGTGAAATAGCGTACAATAAACAACACATACTTTCAAGAGCATACGTAGTGTGATATCCACATTTGTGTTATAAACTTCAATTACTCACCTCTACTTGTGCCCTGCATGTCGATTCCCCCCACCATCTGTCCGAAATTTCGCTTAAATTCTCAATTTATAAATCTACAGTGTTAGTGTCCGCCATCTTGAATTTTTGTTGCACAGCGTATTTTCGAATTTGTAACCTAATTTGTCATTGGATGAAAGTTTCCAAAACTGTTAGACTTATAAACCAAATCTAACATGCATCTTAAGATATACACCTCGGTTTATAATATTTCGTCAAATTAAAATGGGTCACGGCGTACAATACATTTATTTACAGGATATGCTGTAAAAAGAAGCAAAAACAGTAGTGTTATATTTAAACTCCCTACAAAGCTTAACAGCCAATCAAATGACTCGTTTTATAAGACAAAGTCAATCTTAAGCCTCGCTCTGGTTGATAGTTCATTAACCCCCTTTTACCGTGTGACTTGTGAGGAGTTTCGTGATCTCGCGCCATATTGTCTCCTGCCACGAGACACTCCGTTAAAATTAACAGGGCTATAAATGTGAATATTAGTATATTTAATGGTGTACATGTTAATATTAGACCAAGAGAATAAACATATGTGGGTCCTATATCCGACCTATCCTATTTTTACTGCCTGATCCTCAACGTTTGTATCAGGCTTTCAATGAGTTTTTACAGAAATTCAAAACTTTCCAAAACTTGGTAATATAAACAACTTCAAACTTGATTTATAACACTCATATTTGCAAAACAATATGCAAGAAAAAGAATAAAAAACAATTATTACCCCCCCCCCCCCAAAAATCCCTACTCTACTCTATTTTGAATACCATGTGATGTGCACCACAGGATTTTTTAATTTTGCCTTTTTGTAGATTTAATGGTGACGTGTATACTATAATAATACCGGTAATACTAATAACTTTAACGCATCTTTTGAAATGATTTTATCATTTAATAACAATAAAGATTATAGTTGTGATGATGAAAACAATAAAGAAATTACAGTTGGTTATGGATTAAAAAAAATGTTGCATATCAGACGTCATTTTCATTTTTTGATTGAAATGAATATTTTATATATATCTACGTATCTTTTTTTATTATGATGTCTCTGGAGACCACCCTGTCCTTCTTGTGGAAATGTAATGTCTTAAAATTTGTTGGCATACTAATTTATATTGAGAGCATATCATAAAAAAGTGCAATTCGTCTTCTATTTCATTCTGTGTACATTTTTTACAAATTCTAGTTTTATTTGGCGTCACAATGTAAAGGCGAGTGTTAGTAGAATTAAGTTGTGGCTGAAATACGTGCAGTGACAATAAATATATATATAAAAGCAGAATACTGTAAAAAACTTTATTCTAGCCGGAATTAATTTTCACTGAAAAGACTTATTGTGTGGAATATTTTCACTGATTTTTGACGAGTTGAAAGTAAAACAGGAAAAAAGGTATATTCGGTACATTTTATTTTCACTGATTCATTCCAGGCAAAAATAAAGTATTTTACAGTATTAATTAAGAGGGACTGCAGTCACTTAGTACATTGTATTTTTTATCTCAAAAAGTAAACTCAAAGGCTTAGATACTGAGATTTAATGGTGTAATGTGTATACATTTGAATGTATGTTGTGATTGGAATGTTGTAATTATAGGCTCTGTATGCCAAGTATTTTTAAACATAATCTCACTATAATAACAAATGTTATCACTAACTTAGCCCTGCAATTTTGTGTTTTCATATTTTGTGACTATGATAACTGTACATCATTGCATGTGTTATCCACATTGAAGAATGGAATTAATGGTTGAATAATTATACAATAGAGCATACATTATGCACATTAAAGGGTGGAAATAATGGTTTATGTTTATACTAAAAAAAATGATCTGATGATTATTGCATTGTAATGTAATTAACAATAAATGAATTGTGATGTCTACATAATTAACATCTGTGATCAAGTCTGTTTTTTAATCAAAATATTATTAGAAAAATGCATCTGATTAATATCAATGTAGTGAGCGTAGCATTGTAGCGTAATTGAACGCTTCACCCCTTTTATAGGAATGGAACAGTCAACCGCACTTAAAACTAAAATTTGAATATGAAAAAGATGTGAAAAGCAATGCACAAAAGTACTCTGAGTACTGATTTGAATTCTTTTATTTTACAGAGTGTAAAGCTGGTCATTTCAACTGTGTGCTGACCTTGTCAACTTTTACATACTTGCCTGTCTCTTGCCAGAATTATGGGTTGTATATAGAACACAACCACGAGTTTGTTTGTATTCTGTGACACTCGAAGGCAGTAACAATATTTCTGAATCGCTCTCAAAACTGGTAAGTGTGTTAATTTGTATGACCAGTGTACAAACTTTCAAGGCTGTTAGCTGCAAATAAAGTGCTGCTTATTCATGTTCATATAAAGGTGATTTTTGTATACTTGTGTATTAACTGCATAGGAAAGCGAGTATGTTTGAATGGGGGATTCTGTGTCTGTGAAATGTATATGTTTTTTGATAATGGATTATACTATAATGGTGGGTATCATAGTAATAAAAATGATATTGTATGCAATTTTCTTGAGTACGTACGTTGTACACAGGCTGAATATTAATGTGAGTAAGCAAAAAATGCTAAAATTGGCTTATTTTCAAAATTTTAAGTTTTGTGTTGACGACATGTTTTCAGTGTTCTCATCAAATATTTTAGCCCAAAAATTATTTTTTGGTTGACCAATATTTTTATGTATGTAGGTAGTATTTCTTGTTTTATTTTTCATCGCTACGATTTATTACCATTATAAACCGATATCGTTTTTTGTATGACTCTTGTAATTTTATCCATCACTTAAAAATAAAATAGAATGGGTTACTGACAAATGTTTGGAAATTATATTTGAGTGGGATATGGTTACTTTCTCAATAATACTTCAATATACATGTACTGGTAGGTTGTTATGGAGATGGTACTTATTTGAACAAGGCACTCATTTTTGTATCAATTTTTAAATTAATCTAGGACTTCTAAATTCAAGAAAAGCGGAATACAGATTTGCATTCTACACCAATGTTGTATTTGTATACATAGTGCCAGTCAGTTTAACATTGAATACCTTGTGGGTAATTTAATTTATATCGATCACAGAATTTGCTCACACTTGTGCAGTCAGACAACTAAAGTGAATGGAAATGTGACATGTGTTCTTGTAAAAGTAATAAACACAGATAATCCACAAGATCTATTCTAATTTATTTCCTATATTTTACAACTAAAAATCTCATAAATGTTTTTTTTTTCCAGGTTTGTGAATTCCAATGACTTCACTTGGATACTTTCATTCTACTAATAATTAGACTGGATTGGGCAATTTCAGTCTCTTGTAATGATGTCAATAAAAGGAACGATTTAATGACACCACTTTGCAGCAGATGAAGAACTGAATGCAACACTGAACTGGTTTCTATGGAAACAGCAACTCAATTATTTGCACCTGTGATTAATTTCCGTCTTCGTCTTTTCTTACTGGTTCATCTTAGAAAGAATAATTGAAAAGATTCAACATGAGGTCGTCAGTGTCAGCATTTCTTGTTATGTTGGGTCTTCTTATTTACTTAACAATTGGTGCATTCATATTCATGGCACTTGAGCAACCCCATGAAACTCATATTCGATTAAATACAAAAGATTTTCTACTCAACTTCTTAGATAATAATACATGTGTTACGGAATCGGAATTGCGAACTGTGATTGACGAGTTAATTCTTGCTTATGACCAAGGTGTCACACCACTGAAAAATGTCACATCTCCCAGCAATTGGGATTTCCCAAATGCGTTCTTCTTTGTTACTACAGTCGTTACTACTATTGGTGAGTATAGTTTGACCTTTCACCTAATGCTCAATATTTTACTGTTTAGCATTTCTTTGTGTTATTTCCTACCACACTTGGGGGGGGGGGGGATTTTCAAATTGTGGATGAGGAAATTGTTTACCTGATTCTATCAGATTGATCCAGACTAAATAAATTCATAAATATTCTAAGTTAACTTTGATATGGATTAATGTTGAAATTATACCAATGTTGGTTTTCTCAATATATGTTACCACCCCTGCTTGTGTAAACAATGATGCATGTCAGATATATTCACACTGGGACATAATCCATTAACAATTAATTAATCGAAATATCATCCAACCATAGAAAAGGAAATTATAATAATCCATAATTGACACTAATCTGAATGTTGTAAATTATCACCACTATGGCTTATCACAACAATAAATAAATTTCTACCTTTCATATCTACCTGTCAGTTTAGCCAGTGTCCTATCTACCTGTCATTTTAGCCAGCTTCCTATCTACCTGTCAGTTTAGCCAGCTTCCTATCTACATGTCATTTTAGCCAGCTTCCTATCTACCTGTCATTTTAGCCAGCTTCCTATTTACCTGTCATTTTAGCCAGCTTCCTATCTACATGTCATTTTAGCCAGCTTTCTATCTCCCTGCCAGTTTAGCCAGCTTTCTATCTCCCTGCCAGTTTAGCCAGCTTCCTATCTACCTGTCATTTTAGCCAGCTTCCTATCTACATGTCATTTTAGCCAGCTTCCTATCTACATGTCATTTTAGCCAGCTTCCTATCTACATGTCATTTTAGCCAGCTTCCTATCTCCCTGCCAGTTTAGCCAGCTTCCTATCTACATGTCATTTTAGCCAGCTTCCTATCTACCTGTCATTTTAGCCAGTTTCCTACCTAGCTGTCATTTTAGCCAGCTTTCTATCTCCCTGCCAGTTTAGCCAGCTTCCTATCTACCTGTCATTTTAGCCAGCTTCCTATCTACATGTCATTTTAGCCAGCTTCCTATCTACCTGTCATTTTAGCCAGCTTTCTATCTCCCTGCCAGTTTAGCCAGCTTCCTATCTACCTGTCATTTTAGCCAGCTTCCTATCTACCTGTCATTTTAGCCAGCTTCCTATCTACCTGCCATTTTAGCCAGCTTCTATCTACCTGTCAGTTTAGCCAGCTTCCTATCCTACCTGTCATTTTAGCCAGCTTCCTATCTACCTGTCATTTAGCCAGCTTCCTATCTCCCTGCCAGTTTAGCCAGCTTCCTATCTACCTGTCATTTTAGCCAGCTTCCTATCTACCTGTCATTTTATCCAGCTTCCTATCTACCTGTAATTTTATCCAGCTTCCTATCTACCTGTCATTTTAGCCAGCTTCCCTTCCACCTGTCAGTTTAGCCAGCTTCCTATCTACCTGTCAGTTTAGCCAGCTTCCTATCTACATGTCATTTTAGCCAGCTTCCTATCTACCTGTAATTTTATCCAGCTTCCTATCTACCTGTAATTTTATCCAGCTTCCTATCTACCTGTCATTTTAGCCAGCTTCCTATCTACCTGTCAGTTTAGCCAGCTTCCTATCTACATGTCATTTTAGCCAGCTTCCTATCTACCTGTAATTTTAGCCAGCTTCCCTTCCACCTGTCAGTTTAGCCAGCTTCCTATCTACCTGTCATTTTAGCCAGCTTCCTATCTACATGTCATTTTAGCCAGCTTCCTATCTACCTGTAATTTTAGCCAGCTTCCCTTCCACCTGTCAGTTTAGCCAGCTTCCTATCTACATGTCATTTTAGCCAGCTTCCTATCTACCTGTCATTTTAGCCAGCTTCCTATCTACATGTCATTTTAGCCAGCTTCCTATCTACCTGTAATTTTATCCAGCTTCCTATCTACCTGTCATTTTAGCCAGCTTCCCTTCCACCTGCCAGTTTAGCCAGCTTCCTATCTACCTGTAATTTTAGCCAGCTTCCTATCTACCTGTAATTTTAGCCAGCTTCCTATCTCCCTGCCAGTTTAGCCAGCTTCCTATCTACCTGTCATTTTAGCCAGCTTCCTATCTACCTGTCAGTTTAGCCAGCTTCCTATCTACCTGTCAGTTTAGCCAGCATCCATGAACAGTATTATTTGATCTAATTTGTAGCAACACTGGAGATACCTGGTGTAAATGATTTGTCAATTTATTTATATTTATTTTTCCATTGTCACAGTTTTCTTTGTTTGACTTTGTCTGAAATAAAGAATGATAATAATTTTAGCCAGACACATGTACCTGTATTCTTGTCATTTTAAACAAGCAACGATTTAGTAGGTACAAACGATTGTAAGCAATATATCACTGTTTCAGGCATCATAACAGTATTACTGATTTCAACAGGGAGAAAACCAGTTAAAAATTGATCCATGTTAGATGTCCATTCTCTGAAATTTACTAAGCTTGCTATTATAACAATCTTTACATAGGACCAGAATTAAATCTTGGATATAGATGAGTACGGTAGTGCATATGTCATACCAATGTTTGTCTAAGGGATTACCTAATAGCCAATGTCACTAACTGAATTTTTTACTGTCGTATTTGCTTCCTTAAAAGTACTTCTTGAACCAGAAGCACCTATATAAACCAGAATTGCCTTTATTGGATACTTGATCATTAACATACCTATTACTATTACTTATTTTGCCCGTAGAAACACCTCAACAATGTGCATAATTGTGTACGCTACTATTAAATAACTAATGAAAATACCATTTGTTAATTGAAACTTTCAGTCACACCAATGACCTGTAACACTGTAGGCCACATCTCATTTTTTTTTTCATTTTTGTGCTTTTATTTTCCAAACTGTGATCAAATTACTACTAACAATCCATTAGACAGTTTAAACAGACTGTACCAGTAATTAGAAAATGAATTCATAGATTTAAAAAAAATGGAAACCTTTTTTTTTTGGTACATTGTCATGAAAAAATGCTCACAAAAATCTACACTCCAAAACCCAATCCAAAAACCTGGTGAAGCATAAAATGACCTTTAGATTTCTTTGACCTATGAAATTGGCATCGCATAATCCCTTAGACAAACATTGGTACAGCATATGTTTTACTATAATTGCATACATCTGAGCTGTCCCATGATGTATGAATTGTTATAGAAGCATATATATAAATCTATTCTATTCTATTCTATATTTAGTAACTTTTAGATAATATCAATTTTTATCTCATGTTTCCCCTGTTTGCTACCTTATCAAAAAATATTCATTGCATAATATGCAGTATTTGACATGCAGGGGAAATTTAATTTTATGAACATAATAATAAATCATAAAAATGAAATTATTGAAATGGACAGAAGTAATATTTCTCATAATGAATTTGAAATGCAGCAAATATAGCAAATATGTAAAATTTTGTATATATATTCTATACTTAAAGAATATTTTTACTGTGTAATGTAGCCATGTATCATATGTCTCAGTGTGTTGGATCAGCTGTTATGTTAGCAAGTGCTAAAAGTAGTCATGCATAGCCATCTATTTGAATGTGTGCTTTGACTGTTAGCCTCAATCAAATACCACTCAATTTCAATATTTCAAGTACGGGGCATGTAATATATTTTTTTTTTATTTTTTATTTGTACATGTATGACCATTTGTATCTTTGGAAGATGTTTTTTTGCTATTATTATTAGAAACCAACTATTTGATTTTGATGTGGGTGCATTCTCTAAGCATTAACTTTGCTTTTTTGTAAGCAGACAGTCTCTGCTTTTTGTAAACAGACAGTCTCTGCTTTTTGTAAGCAGACAGTCTATGCCATTAGTGAAATTGAATATTCAAACATTCTTTACTTCTTTGCTTGTGCATACAGTGAATAAGCATGTATGCGTTTGGACATCTTCATTGCTAGTCAAAAACACTAGCAGTGTTATTACAACCTCAGTGAATCATTGAAGAATATTTCCAAACCATTACATCACATTCACGTATTTCTCATCTCAAGCGTTCAGTAGAAATTTCTTGTATGTATGACATCTTCATGTGTTTTAGTGGCTCAATTTTTTTGTGTTTGGCAAAGTTTTTATGGCTATTTTTACACTTACATAAATCTTCTGTATTCAAATTACTCAATTTTTTTGAAAATAAATTGAGTGGGCAATTTTAATGCTAGCAATATAATAATAGGAACAGACCATTTCATATTGGGGGGGTGTTCTTGATATTAACAATAGGAACAAACCATTTGATATTGGGTGGGATATTCCTGCAATTAACAATAGGAACAAACCATTTGATATTTGGGCACTGCAATTCTTTCTATTAAAATTAGGAACCATATCTTAGATATTGGGATTGGGTTTTCTTGCTACATGCTACTGTAAAAAATATTTTCACTTGGAATTAATTTTCGCTATTTTCACTGAGGAAATGATTCAGTGAAAATAAAATCCAGCAAATATACGTTTTTCCCTTATTTTACATTCAACAACTTAAATAAATTCCATACAAAGCACCTAAAATGTCGTTTCAGCAAAAATTAATTTCAGCTAAAATAAAGTATTTTACAGTATTTATGAGGGACCACTGCTAGGTCATATACAATAACTTAAAAAATACCAAGCTTGCATTAAATCACTCTCAACAAAGTCTTGATTTTCATTTGCATGTATAAGGTAATTTGGAACTGCGTGGCTGATTTTTCCTTCCTGCAAGTAGTTCCAAGAAAACTTTCTATATCTTGGAGTTCAAGCTTATTATTTAATCACTTTACTGAAGATGAATAGATAGATGTGATATACCAGTATAGGCAGCTGTATACTTGATACTACAAACCCTGATGATGGGATCAGCTTCTGAGAAAACTGTTTGACACTACTTGGAGTGATTAATTGGGAATAACATGTTTTCATGACCTTATATTCAAAATAATCTTACCTTCTTGTATTTTTTTTATTTATTTGTTGTAAATCTTTTGAATCAGGAACTGACTATTTAAATAAATAGAAGCTAGCTAGTTAGTTAGTCTAGTAACTTGTGTCTGAACTCCAGAAAGAATTGTTTGATGGATTTGTAAAAGCTTACCGGTAATATACAAATGTCATTATTATAGCGTTGTCTATTGAAAATATTTTTAAGGTTGTTTTCTCCACAGTTTTTTATTTCCAATCCATTTTTTTTTTATATAATCTGACACCAATTATTAGCTATTCCATTCTGACAATCTAACTCAACATTTCCTGTCACATTTTAATAGTTACCGTAAAATGATGATTCACTATAATTGGTGTATGTATTCACATTCCGTCACTATGTGTCATGCCTGGAATTTTAAACAGACCATTAGGCTGCATTTTTGGTATTTGCAGACATATCTTAACATCTAATAAATACAAAGTTCTTGACACAGAAGATAAATGTCAGACAATTATTTTCTAATTAACATTAAAAAACATCTGAATACACAGTGAGGTAAATGTTTCACATCATTGAACTCTGTCTGTGAAACAAAATACGTATAAATATCAAAAAAAATTTTAAAAATTTTATGAATGTTTTAAATACATTTTAAAAATTTATTAATTTTTCATGTTCAATTAAGAAATATATTTCCAGTTGCATGTATTCATGTTTATCTATGCAGCATCACTTAGTATAATATTTCCCATTAATTGTCAGCTGAATTTACTGAATAGCCAGTAAGTTATTAATTCTATAAAACTTCTATGATATGACATTGTAATTGTGAGTGATTAGTATACGTACTAACACTAAAAGTTTGCTATAGATGATGCTATCATATTGTACACAGATATCTGTAACATGCAATAATGATATATTTTGTTTTTTTGCAGGTTATGGTAACTTATCACCGAATACATTTTGGGGACAAATTTTCCTTCTTTTTTACGCTACAGTTGGGATCCCAATTACTTTTATTGCACTAGCATCTGTGACACGTTTTCTGAAAGTGAGTTATCGACTTTATCAACGACGCTCAGAGTGCTACTTCTCTTGCATAAAGCATGATGGTGTACGCAAGTTCATTCAGTTTGCAATATTTGCTTCTGTTGTGTATGCCGTATTAATTGTAGGACCATCTGCAGTATTTGCATATCTGGAGGACTGGAGCATGCACATAGCACATTATTATACTTTTGTAACACTTTCTACAATTGGGTTTGGAGATTACGTCGCTAGCTACAGTGAAAAAATACATGGATACTGGAGAATTGTATATAAAATTGTTTTAGCAATTTATTTTGTAATTGGAATATCACTGATTAATATAGTGTTTGGCTTTGCTCAAAGCATACAGGAAAGGGAGGGGAAAAAGTTGGCAAAAAGGGCCAAGGTACATCAGGAGAATTTAATGAAATTACACGACAGAAACAGCAATGTAGGGTTATCCATTTTCCAATCAAAACGTAATTCATCAGTAAATACTGGTGAAGATGAAAAACGTGTGGTTTCTACGTATCTGTAAAGATTTAACTATTATATCTTAGCACATCATCTGCCATTATATACCGTATATATCGGCTATCCGTAAAAGGTTTCAGCAGGTTATGTTTTAATATGCAAATAAGAAAAGGCAATATTATATACTGTAAAATACTTTATTTTAGCTGGAGTTAATTTTCGCCAAAAAGACATTTTGGGTGTTTTGTAGTTTTACTTCATTGCAATCGGTTTCACAGAATACTGTAAATGCATTAATTATTTAGGTTTTAATTTAACTTTTCTTGCTGATAAGTAAAATAAGTTGAATTAAATCCATATGAACATGTAAAATAACAATAGAGACTTGTTTTCATGGCAAATTTGTAAATATGCTCAAAATAGTAGAATTAAATGGTTTTACAGTTTATGCATACAATTTTATTACTTAGACATCACATTTTATTATTAATTGGACGCTAAAATATTTTAGTTTGATGGTGGATTTAGTTATTTAGTGGTAGAAATCCATTCAGAAACAATCTGTTCATAGGCAATGTACATTACAAAATAATACATAGTGCAGGGACATTTATACGATTGTTATTTTTACAAACAGACACATGTATATAGATAGTTATAAATAGTTATAGTTATATATATTTATATAAAAACAACTTTAATTATGTGTAATTTAGACTTTCTCATGATTTACCGGTGTGTGAAACCATCATTGTTTTATGGTATTGTAACTAAATAACCGCACCACCTGACGTCAAAACAATGTAAAATAAATACACTTGTACTATAATTATTTTGTATCTCAATATTCTGCATCATTGTGATTTTATTCACACTATGCATTGTCAATTTCATGGTAAACCATAGATCTCAGAAAACATTGAGTATACTTTGTTGTACAGTGTGTGACAGTGTGAATATTCAAGGTCTATCTTGGCACTGTGAGTATTGGCTTCAGACTTAATTCATACTGTAAAAGGATTAATTATTCACTGGGTTTTAATTTTGCTTATTTCGCTGGACTGGAAAATGCGCTTAATTAAAACCCAGTGAATATGTAAAATTTAGCATAGAACACATTATCTAAATGATAAAACCGTAAATTTAAAACCCACTTAATATGCCTAAATTGGTAAATCAGTGAAATTTAAACCCAGTGAAAATTAGTCATTTTACAGTAGTTACAATGTTTAACAAAACAAAAAATGTCATCTTTTCTGAGGTGGTCCTGGGGTATAAGCCAACCCCTTATTTTCCCTGTTTTTACATGTTGAGGCCCCTGGGCTAATGATTTTGGGAAAATGATACTCAGCAATTCAATATGTAAATTTAGGTCAATGTTTGAAACAAAGAATTTGTTTGGAGTATATGCTCATTTATGTAGTAATATCTCTTGGATAATGTAACTGTACATCTATGCCATGTTTATTTTCACAATTTAGTTTAATTTGTAATTAAACAAAAAGTACTATGTTGAAAGATGGATGTTGAATTTGTTTTTTGTATTCAGGTGAATTCCAATAAATTTGTGTAATCGATAATTTCATTAGTCACATTAACAAGCAGCCAGTCGGCTGAGATAGCTCCGCTGTCAATTAATTAATTTCAATTAAAGAACAGAAGATATCATCACAAAATGAACAAATCTGAGAAAGGTCCACATGTAGTAACTATATATGTAATATCAGAGCAATTTTGGTTTTTAACAAGAAATCGAAAATATCACTTTTTACCAAAAATTACAAAAATATTCACCAAAATTAGGGAATTTAAGATATCATCACAAAATAAACAAATCTCAGAAAGGTCCACATGTAGTATCTATATATGTAATATCAAAGCAATTGGATTTGTGGTTATTAACAAGAAGTCAAAAATATCACTATTTACCAAAAATGCCAAAAATATTTACCAAAATTAGAGAATTGAGGATATCATCACAAAATGAACAAATCTGAGAAAGGTCCACATGTAGTATCTATATATGTAATATCAAAGCAATTGGACTTGCGGTTTTTAACAAGAAGTCGAAAATATCACTTTTTACCAAAAATATTCACTAAAATTAGAGAATTGAAGATATCACGAAATGAACAAATCTTAGAAAGGTCCACATGTAGCAACTATATATGCAATATCAAAGCAATTGGACTTGCGGTTTTTAACAAGAAGTCAAAAATATAACTTTTTACCAAAAACTACAAAAATATTCACCAAAATTAGAGAATTAAAGATATCAACATGAAATGAACAATCCTAAGAGAGGTCTACCCAAGGTACATATACACCAAGTATCAAAGCATTCAGGCTTGTAGTTTTCAAGAAGAAGTCGAAAAAGTAAAACACTGACACGGACGACGGACAATCACTCATATGATAAGCTCCGCTCGACAAAGTCGACAGCGGAGCTAAAAAGGTTACTGTACTCCTATGAATGCAACTGTGCCCTCATTAGCAATTATTAGTGTGTCAACAATACTATTGTTTTGTGCCAAAGACATAATATCAGAAACTCAATATATTAACTAGAATTGTAATTATAAAATCTTTATAAACCCAGTTGAAGTATATGACAAATGAGGGAAGGTAGAGCTTGATACCTTATCAGAATAGGTGAAGGCTGATTCATAAATGTGTTAACAGGCAACCATTAAAGACTCTGGTGCACTCAATTACCTGTCTGATCTCTACAATAGATATGTTGTTGTCCCCATGAGTAATTTAAGGTTTGTTTGTAAATCATATCACTGAGTGCCTAAAGAAATTTCAATAAATTTATTATACTTACAAACGAGTAACATTTAGCAAAAACGAAAACGAATTTCATGAATTATACCAATATTTTGTATTAAAATACCCAAACTCCATAAAACAAAGCTAGATCTATCGCTGGATTATATAAATGTTCAACCAAGGATTTGTCTAAAATATTAACATCTTTTTTGCCTACCATCAAAGAGGAGCTCAAAATATACTGTGGTGTCATCTTTACCATGAATGGTATAAATTTAAATGTGGATATTGAAACAATCCAAAGAACTTTCTGAAAATGATTATAAAGCAGGATCCCTTTCAAATGTGACTTCAATTAACACTTTTTCCATCTTATATACTACTATAATATAACATGATAAATTAAAGTTACATAATAAAAAACATTATCCATCAAGCATTTTTAATACAATCAAAATCACTTGTGTGAAACGACTTCTAGTGGTGTTTTTTATTATTATTATTTAATGTATACTGAACTGCGACTTACGGACAAACATAAAACGTTAAACAAAATTAAAAAAAACCATGTCACCCGTAACTTGGCTTTAAACTACACCTTAAACGGCGCCGTGTTTATAAACAATGTCTACACATTCTAAACATGTTTTGATAACACGCTATATATACTGTCATGTCGCTGGAAGTCGTTTCACGCAGCTCAATTGTGCGATTGATTTTAATTGTAAAAAGGTTCTAGTCGCTACAAAATAGCTGGCTGATTTTTTTGTTTATTTATTCGTATGAAGCTGAATTTCTCCAGAAATTATTTAAAAACATAAGTATAACTGAAGCCAAATTAACATTAAACCGAGCCAGTACATTTCTGAAATGAACATACATGTATAACCGATAGTTTTCGCGTGACTGTGTCATATATCATATATAACATCATTCTGTGCATGTTCTCTGTGTAGTACACTTGTGCACGACAGATGTATTTACTGAGGACATAAACAGACCAATACCGGAAGGAGAAATTTTAGCAAGTTTAAATGAGTTAAAATTTTATAAATTTTCTGCAGTTGTAGCTATTCTACAACTTCATATTTAATTCAGGTAGGCGTAATTATCCCGCTTTTTAAAGTAGACCGTGGCGACGTTAAAAACTATTATAGGGGAATATCGCTTCTGAACGATTTTTACCAGTACCTTCAACGCAAGGTTTACAAAATGACAGACAGCTTGCAGCCAAAAAAAAACAATAACAAATCTTTAGATCTTCACAATGAAAGTCCAACAATATAAACATACAATTAGAAAATGTTTACTTGAAAACAGGAGAAGTTTACAGTTGATGTCAGCACCAGGTAATGTATGGAAAATATATGAGTTCCCCAAACGCCATTGTATCTATGGTTCAATTTGCATTCCATAATCCAGTATGATAGAAAACACATTCTGTCCTATAATATCAAATTATTTCAATTGTCACATAAGTGAGAGGCAGTGTTGTATTGACTAGGAAACATTAGTATTATTTGGTGGAATAATTAATTCTTTGGTAGAATAATTCTTAGCTGAATCGATAGTAAGCTTACATATGTTAATAGATATGTTTGGTTATTTTGTCGAAAGTGGAGCATAGCAGTTATTCTTGAAGACCAAGGTTGTAGTTTTTAGAATAGGACCTGTTCGGAAAAATGGTTTATAGTTATTATAAATATTTAAGTTTTGGTGTATCTTCTTTTTATTTACTTAATCACTTAACAACCATTGGTAATGATGATAATGCATACAAAAAAGCGAAAAAAAAAACAACTGTTCGTCTCCAATCATATTTGTGTGTTACAGAGAAAACATACCCTTTCATTTACTGGCAACGGAATATGGCGCCCTGATCTGTGAATGGTTACTTAGACGAAACTTACTAATTAATTCCAGGAGTTTAATATCTTTAATGTCAAGTAATCTCCTAAACTAATAGTTTTGTTTAAATAACGGTAGGTTCTTTGTTTGCTTCTTCCGTTACCCCTTCTTCTTTTGCCATCATGTATTTAATTTTTCCATTGTACTGAAAATGCATATTTTTAGTTTTACATCAGTATTTATTAATTTCGCTGATATTAGTGGGTCCTGAGAATCTATTAGTTCGTAGTAATTTGCATCTGATTCATGGAAAATGGATTTCATTTTTTATGTATCATTTGCTCTTTATATTTCTGTTAACCAAGAATGCCTCAAATATAAGTGTGTTATTGGAGATAGATATTTTGTTCATATATTTAAATGCCTGTTTTTGTGGGAAGTAAT